TATTCGCAATTAACCCCAGTTTTATTAAAGATCGTATCTAAGGCAGTTTTCTATTGAACTTTCTAGATGAGAGAATTTCTTGAAGAACGAGATATAAATGAAAGGGGGTTTCCTGTATGGTACATAATACATAAAACATCAGTATTACGAGAAATTTAAATACATAGACTAGTGCACAAAGAAATAAAGACAAATGACAGTATTGTCCCGAATATACATATCTAAAAACTAGTCTTTTCCATTACAGGTTGGCCTGATGTTCTACATTTGCATTTTCTGGACATCATCATCATTATTTGGAGCAGTTTATGTCTTCCCATTTGAGAAGGTTTACTTAGTGAAAGAAAGGAAAGCAGATATGTACAGACTTAGTGTATACTACGCGTGTAGCACTTTATGTGACATGATAGCTCACGTTACATATCCGACCATTTTCATGGTCATTCTGTACTTCATGGCTGACTTCAGAAAATCAGTGGCTTGCTTTTTTCTGACACTCTTTGCGATTCTGCTAATTGTCCTCACAAGCCAGGTAAGTTGCAAACCTTCAGTTATTAACTTGGTATCTCTATTACCACCATCTCAAGTAAGAGAAAAATGAACAGGTGGCGTGTTCTTTTTAATTTGATGTCATATTCTTAACTTAATTAGATGGAGGGTATGATAAACAGAATTTATCTTTCATCTTCGTATTCTTAAGCCACATAACTAATATCTAGAGAGGTAGCTAGGACAAACAACTACTCCCTATGTCCAGCACTTGCTAAATGATTTAATATAAACACCGTCTTCTTGACTCAATTTTAGGGAACAGGAGAGCTACTGGGAGCAGCGATTTTAAGTGTAAAACGAGGAGGTACAATGGCCTCTTTAGTGCTTATGATGTTTCTACTCACCGGAGGATATTATGTTCAGGTAAGTTTATATGAATATTCCATTCCCTTAAACTGGCAGTCACAATTATATTTTCACTCAGTCACAGTTCTAGAAAATATATTATACTCATTTTCCTACTTCTACTAGACTTTAGTAATGTTTCCGGCTGGAAAGGTCCATAAAAGAGATGGTCTGGGCTAATCTCCTTGGATCCGAATTGACTCAAAAGGATTAACCCTATTTAAGTCATGAACCTGAATTTTTTTAGCCATGCATATATCTAATATTTCTCCAATGTAAGATTAAATCTCAAGTCTTTATTAAATCAAACCCACACCTAAACTGAATGGATGTGAGACGCTACTAACAGTATGTTTAGCTATTTTTAGAGTGGGGTTAGGAGTAATTGTAACGACATATATATTAGAAGTTTATATAGTTCCAACTCTTGTTATTGGAACACTCTTGAATTTAACATAACAATAACTCCTTTACTTTTAACCTAGTTTGCTTTTGGCACAGTTCTTTGGTGTTGAAACAATTTCCAACTAAACATATATGTTGAGATTTAGATGTAGTTGGTGTTAGACCCTAGAGGGGGGTGATTAGGGTCTTATGCTAATCTAATCCCGATTAAAAGCCAATTAAAATAATATTGATTAATTTGTTCTTGCACGAATGATATAAGATAGATATGAGCAAGAAAGATATGAATAAGCACAAATAAAAATTACGCTAAGCAAAACACAAACAAACGATATATTTACGAGATTCGGTCACCACGACCTACGTCCCCGCTCCTCACCTCGAGGAGATCTCCACTATCATAATCCGGTTTGAAAGCCGGAACTTCTACACACTCGGTTTACGAGCTTACCGAAAACTCTCACACAATAAATACTATGCAATCACACTTTACACACTAAGTGTAGGAACCTAGCTCGTGTCCTCCTCCTCAAGTGCTCGGATGCAACCTCTCCCTAGGTTCGTCAACCGACGCCACTCCTATTGGATTCGACCTCGTCTCTTGCCTCACACTTCTCTCGGTGTACAAGTGTATTACAAGTGATACTCACAAATAAATATTAAATACAATGGTTTGTTCTCAACAACAAATGAGAACGCAAATGAAGCTCACACTCACTAAATCACACCCCACAATCCACACTATATAGTATGAAGATATTAAGCTCAATATTGTGTGTGTGATAACAGTGAATGAAAAAATATGTAACTCAATAAATATAGCTAAGATATGAAAATAAAATTATAAGCTATATGAAAGAATGAGTTAGGAAAACTTCTCAATAAACAAGAAGAACAGTAGAGGATGATGAGGATAGGATCCTCAGTTGAAATGAAAAGCCTCTTCTTGTAGTAGCAGACTTCTTTTAAAGCAGATGATCAGAAACAGCTTAAACAGCTCTTTAAACACACTTAAGATTTTTGTTAAAACTTCACTGTAAAACAAAACTTGATTGTTTGAAAGAAAGCAGCAATGGGGTATTTATACCCACTTAAAATATCAGTCAAAACAAACTTGAAAAGATCAAAACAACCCCAGAAAATCAAATCAGAAAATAGTCGTTGGAAAGCAATTATGAGATCGGCGGTCGATCGTGGAAATCTCGCGGTCGACCGCGAGGCACAAAAAGGCTGAGCATAGGAATTAAAGACTGATCGCGTGTCGACCGCCGAATGGTCTGACCGCGACTGTCGACCGGAAAAGTCTCTGATGATTTCACGGGTCGACCGTCGACGTCGACCGCGAGGGCCATAAAAAGTACAGACTATATAAAAAATAACCGCTGGCAGTCGACCGTGGCGGTCGACCGCAAACTGATATATGCCAGGTGACAGGTTTTGGACTGATTTTGAAATTGCATTAAAAATATCAAATCAATTCCAAAAATAGTAAAACTTTGGGAAAAGTTTCTAAATGATGAAATAAACATGTTTGAAAAGGAATTTTTGGAAAATCAATTTTCGTTTGTGAAAACTCCCTGTTTTTGAAAAGTGTTCAAAAAACCTGTATTTTCGTGAACATGAAAATTGAGATATGACTTGTAAACATGTATATATGTATCATGCATACATTATATACATATAAAGAAGTGTGAATGAGCTGTAAACATGAAATAAAAACTATTATAACAAAGTTTGATGAAAAATCGTTTATATGATAGAAAACGTCAAAATTGTGTTAAGTGTACATATATTGAGCTTACATATAAGCATACGATATATGTAGGCAAACTAAACTTATACCTAGGTGAATGCACATATATTGAGCTTACATATAAGCATACGATATATGTAGGCAAACTAAACTTATACCTAGGTGAATGCACATACATGAACTTGAACCTTTAACGCTTGATTATCATGTGTTGAATTACCTGTAAAGAGAAAAACAAAACAACAAAAACTAGAGAATAGATTAGCGATAAATTGTTTGACAAATCATCATCAAAACTATAGGGCCAACAGTTGGAACAACACAGTGTGAACGTTTATATATGTATATGTCTGTCTGTCTGTGTCACTAATCACAGATTCTCAAATCTCGAGCTTGAATATTGGGGTGAGTTTTTGAGTTGGTAAATTTCAGAAAACTCGATTATGTTCGGGCGTTTCTTGGCTAACCCCTTTAACTTTCAAATGGTCACAAAACCCTACTTAAGTTTTGGGATTCTCATAAAACTTACCTTCAACTTTCAACATCATTCAAAAAAAAAAAATCTTTGCTCACGTTAACCACAATTCACGCGTCTGTGGTTAAAGTATGCAAGTAGACTTTTTATAGTGAAAATTGTGTTTCATGTTTTTAGGTTTTTTTTTTTTTTTGGAAAGTTGAATATTAAAGGGAGTTTTTTGAGACCCAAGCAACTTAAGAGGTGTTTGTAACATTTTTGAAGTTAAGGGGAGTTATCCAAGCTCCCAAATAAGAGGTTTTTTGTGAAATTTACCATTTTAATTGGCTGGGATCGCGTGGAAATTTGGAATTTTGGGTTGGGTTCTGTCAAAGTAGATTTTTAAAAGGGGGAGTGGGTTCTTGGTCCTCCTAACCAAACTGGCATCGCGTGACACCAGTACTTTTAATAACATGTTTGTCCTAATTGTATATTTAACAATTGTGGCAATTTCTTTTTTTTTCCAGTACTTTTAATCTTAGAAGAAGAATTTAATTTTCCATTTATTTCGTCATAATAATAACATGCGAATTACATTAGTACCTCAATTGAAATGCAGCACATTCCCAAATTCATTCGGTGGATGAAGTACATATCGTTCATGCACTATGGTTTCAGACTTCTGCTGAAGGTGCAGTATTCTGGAGATTTGATGTATGAATGCCAAAGCAAGGGTGGATGTAGAAGTCTGCAAACTTCCCCATCTTTTGATACCATAGATCTCAATGGGGGATTGTATGAAGTGTGGGTTCTAATCGCCATGGCGCTAACTTATCGGTTCCTAGCTTATATTTGTCTTCGCAGAAGAATTGGCAGTCACCCTTTTTGATAAGTTAGCATATTTGAGATGCACACAAAAGCATGTATTATTTATCCCCCCACCAGTTTGATGTTAGAGAAGTATATTACGTGCTTAATTTGAGTTCATGTCTAAAATGTCCGTCATAGGTTTTTCCCTATTTTTGTTGAAGTTTAATGCTGGCCACTTTGCAAATGAATACGAGTAATAACCATTTCCCCCATTACAATACCATATATATTTTGGAGAAGAATATATACCTGTAATGCTATGTATTGGAAGACTTCTTATGATGTACAATACCACTATCTTTTCCTTCTTAATTTCAATCTTCCTTTTCTTATATTCTTTCATACGCCTTTCCTTTCTTATCATTTTAATCCTGATGACATGCTACAGTAATTATAATACGTGCACATATGCACGCGGTTGTATTATTTTCCTCAATCTCGGCAATCAACTAAGGAAAATTTTCTTAAACGCTTGGCATGGCTTATGATGTTGCACGGACCGTTTGAGTTGGACAAGTAATGCACGTGCCCATGGATTTATGTGAGTGAGAAAAACAAGATAATTAACCATCTCTACCTTTTGGACACCGAATTAAAGTACGCATCTAATTTAACATTGTTAAACTTTTAAAGTGAGAATGATGAAAATACCCACAACATCTAGCAAATTTGTAGATTTACCCTCTCAATCTACATATTTCCTAATTTATCCCTGTAAATTTTATGATGTTTCAAGATAGCCCCTCAAATCTTTCATATCTTAAGATCGGTTCCCTAAATCACCCAATCTGCTAACTATGGTATGCCTTAGTGGTTCAGTATGGATCGATGGGCAACTCACTATACTACAATTTTCCCCCTCTGCAGTTCTCGCTTCGTGTTCTGAGAGGGGGGGAATTTTTTTCTCTTCTGTCGCCCCAGGAGTCACCACCAAAATATAAGGTTTGAGTTTTGTATTCAAAAGGATTAAAAGTTGAAGGGATCTTCCCCCAGTTCAAACAAATACTAATTAGATGACTAATTTCAACCAACATATGTAATTTGGAGGATTTAATAGCAATTTTAATGATTTTAGGGACTGGTCTCAAAATATGAAAGTTACCAATATTAAAATAATCCTAAATTTTATTGTCATAAGCTAGAGCGGTATATCTAATCTTATATTTTATACTATTATAGAAGTGTGTAAGACGATTAAAACGGAAGTGACTTGGAAGTAAAGCATCCGGGAAAGAAAAAAAGGTTTTGAGTGTTTACATGTAGCGGCGTGTCTACTTTCCAGATTGTCTTTTAGTCCCTCTACATTGTCCTTCTTATTTATGCTCTAGATATAATGATTCTTTTATTTGTTCGTCTTATGAGGTTCCTTGTGATTAGTCGAAAGATATGAAAAATATGATTTTGAGGTCCAACAAAACAAAAAAGAAGTAAGAAAATGTTTTCTTAATATTTGTATTTTGACATATTTAAAATATTTCATTTGATAGTATTATAACGGATTATAATTTTATACATAAATTTAGGGGTTTATCTCTAAATGAGCCAAAGTTTAGGGTATTATGTGGAATTTACTCTAGCATAAAAGTAGATAATAAAAAAATACTACAAAAATCTAAATATATCAAATTTAACGTATATATCAAATTTAACGTATACTTTGACAGACAGACACATATAAATTAGTACATTAAAGTTTTAAACTGCATAACTGATAAAGCTGAAGATTAAATTAAAACGCTATTTATGGTGCTCATCATGATAGCGGAAAAAATGAGGACACCATGAGAATAATATCAATCTTCTCTTGTTCCTCCTAACCGCATAATGGGTCTATGGGGACGGTTTATAACCGTCCCTCAAGACAACAAAACCATCCTCATTGGCTTATGGGAACGGTTACTCATCCGATACCATTGTTACCGTAGTCTTTGGTCTAACGCAACAGTTCATGATTTAGCGCGGTTCGTGAATTGTTCGCGATTATAGCATTTGGAGACGGTTTAACTATTGGGACGGTTCATATTTTTGCGTATGGTAACGGTTATGTGGCAACGTGAACGATCATAGTTTTAAGCTACCGTGACGCTTATGCACCAATGGGGACAGTTTCAAGTTTGACCTATGAAGACGGTTATGTATCTATGGAGACGGTTTTATTTGTGATCTACGCTAGCGTTTTTATATCAAAGGAGACGATTTTATTTTTCAAATATGCATACGCTTGTTTAGCAATGAGGACAGTTTTTAGCTATCAAAATATGAGAACGGTTATATATAGCAAAGGTGACGGTTTTCAATTTTGACCGATCAAAGCAAATCATCCAGATATCACACAATTTTTAGACCCGCAGCTTCAAAATTAAAAAAAGAACAAAACAATCACAAACAAAGAAATGTAACTCCAAATTTTACAACCAAACATAATGAACAATTCATTAGTTCATTACAATGACTTTAGTAATCTGGGTTACATATATGAAAGGCTACATAGGTTCTCATCTGTCGAAACTTACCTGTAGTAATCTGGGTTGGGGATAAATGTTTGGGTGTCAAGGAGGGCATAGTTTCCTCCGATCAACGCTTGGCGACAGTAGGCCCTATGGTTGAACTTGGATGCCATGCCGAGCTGGTCTAAGTACCTTATCAACAACCGAAAACAAAAATAATCTGCTGAGAAGTTGGAAGTGGACGCGTAAGGTTTTTATTTATTTTTTGTCGATGAAATGTGGGCACATCAGAACTGGGCAAATAAAGAAAGTGACCATGGAATACATAATATGAAACATTAATTATCAGTGGGCACATCAGAACTGGGCAAATAAAGAAAGTGACCATGGAATACATAATATGAAACATTAATTATCACTATGTTATACTGTTAATTATAACAAAAGAAAGTGACCATGGAATACATAATATGAAACATTAATTATCACTATGTTATACTGTTAATTATAACAGATTTGGAGAGGTAGGAGTGGAGAAGCTTTAATTACACCATTGCTTATGTTACCTAGCTCCCCTGAACTAATGTACGAAAGGGTCACGTACGGTGGGTTGGTAGAATTTTTTAAAGATACAAAAAATATGAGGCCTACACTACTTTAACCGGCTCTTACTTGGATCATACATTACATTAGAGGGAAAAAACCAAAACATTTGCACCACTATTGGAGGGAAAAAACTTAAAAAGAAAATAGTATATATGACGCATAAACTTAGGCGTATATATAAATTAAATAACTGTTGATACTCGATACATTTTCATGAAGCATGCCATTTTTCAAGAGATATGATATATTACCAAAAACTACCGACGAAAGTTCCAGATTCCGGTCCTCCACTATTGAAAGCACCTTCTGCTTCACCGATCCAGGCAGAACTCCACGGGCCAAAATCTTTAACTGTCTCCTCTTCATTTTTGAATGTCTGAGCTATTTGAGACAGAAAGAAAGGATCTTGCATCTTGTCAAATAGCTCTTTGCTTCCCCCTAAACAAAGAAAGAAAAACTAATGAGCTGGTTCTTTTTTTAGTGCATAAACCATAGGAATAATAAATTAATTATCACGCTGACCTGGACCGAGGTTATAGATGTGATAAGTCACAGCATCAACAACATTAGGTCCCGAATTCTAAAGCATTTTAGCAAACCAATCTTGATCGAAGAAGCCTCCAGGAGCCAAAAGCATAAGCTGCTTCTTGTTTTTGTATAAATCATCTATAAGTGCTTTGAGAACAATCAAATCCTGGATGTACTGCTTAACATCCACCTTCGCAGCGACACCATCTCCAGATATTTCATTTCCTGAAAGGATAAATTATGACAATCTTGGAGAGATCGTTTGAAATAAATTTTTGGTGAGTTTGTTCGGATGAAACGTTGTTTTAGTAGTTACCAAATTCCCAAGAGTCGACATTATATCCCTTTGAGATAGTATGATTGATGAAATCTCTAGTATTTGATGAGTTCCAGCTGCCTTCCCACAGAGTATCATTTTTAAGCTGACTCCTTCCATAGAGTGTATTAATTCAACCCGAATGTCACAACTTCTCTGCAATTATGTAATTGTTTTAGGGTGTAGTAAAAACCAAAATAATGTAGAGTTAATTTCTGCTTTTTATGTTAGATAAGCTATGTTAGATAAGCTATATTAACGCCAGTCGGGTTTGGGCTTGATTGCGGTTTCTTGTTCTGTTTGGGATTAGTGTTTGGTATAAATACGAACACGTTTTCAGGTTTCTATGGAGTAGTTGAAACGATTGTTTTGAGTACAGAAAAGAGAGTTTTTTCTGGGCTATTGGTTTAGGGTTTTGTTTGAGAGATTTGAGAGATTTGTTTGAGAGATTTGAGTGATTTGTAATCTCTATTTGTAATCTCCCTTCTCTATTAGTAAAAACTCATCCCCTTCTTACCCCGTGGACGTAGGCAACTTGCCGAACCACGTAAAATTCGTTTGTTTGTGTTCGTGCTGTTAATTTGGTCGTGTGTGTCTTTCTCTCTCAGCGTTTGTGTTTGTTCTCGGCACCCCTACGTTTGGCCGTCGCGCACAACAAGTGGTATCAAAGCAAGGCTACACTTGGGATTAGGTGAAGGAGTAGATTGCTTTGGAAGCTCATCTAGGGTTTCATTTGGTGACAAATGTGGGATTTTTATTATTGTGGATATTGTCTTCCGTCGTATAGGGGTGAGATCTTTCGAAGGCTCTTATTAGGGTTTCAGTTGGAGGTAAAAATTTACTTTTCTCGCAGTTTGGATCTATTTCTTTCAATTTGTTCTGTATTGGTTTGTTGGTGCTTTGAGAAAGATGGCTGAGAAAGAAGGTGTTGTGAGTGGTTCTTCTGGCGTGAAGACCGTTCAAAGTTTGAATTACCACTCTATGAAGATAGATATAAAGAAGTTTAATGGCACGAACAACTTTGGTTTATGGAGATTTGAAGTTTTGGATGCACTCAACGCACAAAATTTGGAGGATACTTTGGAGTTGGACGGAAAACTGGACGACATTGAAGAAAATGTTTGGAAGAAGATGAACGAACGATATGTGATGTGATTAGGTCTTGTCTAATGATACGGGTGTATCTTCTCTTCGGAACTTAGCGATCCTCATGGGAGCTTGAGGATGGATGATTCTCATGATAACATGAGAATAGAGGTGTCAAACGGTACAAGGGAACACAGGAGGAAGCGTAGAACGAGACAACGAGCAGCAGAATCAAAGTATCCAGTTTTCAGCCCGTGAGTCGACTCATAACAGTCATGAGTCGACTCATCAGGTTGAGTCGACTCATGACTGTCATGAGTCGACTCATCGCTGGCTTTTGTGTTTTGTC